ACTTTTCGTCAAACATATCACCTTTAATATAATTTACTATATTATTAAATTCTCTATTCAGCACTTTATATTCCTACCCCTTATAATCTCCACATACAATATGCTCCTGCAATGTACTCCTACATTATGTAGGAGCACATACGTATATAGGAGCACATTGCAATGTGCTCCTACATATGTAGGAGCACATACATATATAGGAGCACATTGCAATGTGCTCCTACATATGTAGGAGCACATTGCAGGAGCATGTTGGATTACGTTTGTTTGGGTACTACAATTCCGTTTTTCTCCTCCAAGAACCGATGAAACCGATGCAATGTGCTCCTGCATAATGTACGAGCACATTGCAAGGTGCTCCTACATAATGTAGGAGCACATAATGTAACCTAAAAAAGATGCTGAGCTAACAACGCCATCTACAAGTTTCACGCATCGTTACTCGACGCATGTCACATGACTCATGTCACATGACTGTTAGGCCCCACCGCTTCCTTCAACCGGCCGGACCCTTCCGTACTCTACGGGCGCCAAAAATTACTTTTGTTTACACACGGATATCGAAGACCAAAAACCGAAACTACAGTTTCATATATGCTACGACTGATTCTAGTCGTATATCGCATATAAGAACCTGTCACGGTTCAATGAACCTGCCGCAAAATTTTCAAGTCCGTCTGCTCTGAGCCGAAAAAAGCAGTGAATTATCATGCCACATCCTATTGGGCCGTTTTTCAAAACGGAAGCTGCCCTCCCCCATCAGGCGGCAGTAAGCGTTCACCGCGCTAATGTCATTGTTCGCCCGTCATTCACTGGATTTGTGCTGTTTGATTTGAAGTTTTTCGACGTTTAAGTGCGGAAACATTGCGTGGTAATGTTGCGCGCGTGTGGTGGACGGTCCCATCTCAGTCGTGATGTTAATATAAATGGGAATTCCGGAGAAATTCGGTGAAATTCCTACTACTAGTTTAAGGTTAATACTGTAGAGGCGTTAACAAGTTAGACCACAGAGTTGGTTTACCGGAAAAATGCACACTGAATATACCCACGCTGCACGGGCAAAATTCACGACGCAGAAACGAAGTTCCTTGGGCGCCATTCATGTTTTGGAGTAACTAAACATTTTATAACTAATTAATAATATCTAAAATTAAAAATTAGTTAAAAACTGTACTACAGAAGGCTGAAAGTAATGCATACAAATTAGAGCTCTGATTTTACCATGTAGGTTTGTTGTGGTTTTTGGGGTGCCCCTGCGCTGGGGGCGAACGGTTTTTGTTTAGCATTTGAAGGCAGAAAGTGGCGTTTTTTGATGATATAAAAAATATTGGTGGAGAAATAGTCGGAATTAAGCAAACATCTGCTATCTGAAGATCGGTAAATGTAAACGCGATTCAAGCCATGAATTTTGCCCGTGCAGCGTGGGTATGTCAGTGCGCATTTTTCTGGTAAACCAACTCTGTGGTCTAACTTGTTAACGCCGCTACAGTAATGGTTTAACGTCCGCATGCATTCAGGGCAAGATCCCAGTTCGAGGCAGCAGACAGCAACTACAAGTCTCCAGAATACACAGTACAATGCGACCAAGAAAGGAAGCTACGGGTTTAGGGTATGCGTTTTAGCGAAGACAGTGAAAACCGGTTTGTACAGCTAGTACGCGCACAGACAGCCACAATCATACGTTTGTAAGTGAATGCGAGCGGATTTACCCACTCGCACACACATGTGCCGATCGATCGATACAGCAAAGCAGCACTCCGCTTGCGCTTTCTGGCTGCACTGAAATACTCTGCCTTCGGTCTATTTATAGTCACAACAGAGAGGCTGCCTTGATCAATCAGCCTCAGCGGGCAAAAAAGGCTGTTCGCTGGCTTTATAACATAGACCGTAGCCTCCTCATTTAGTCAGATTGTATTTCAGATCAAGCTTTAAACAATAATACTGTACACCAGCTTTAAACAAGAATACTACTGCAGTATATTTAAACATTACAACTCATTGTCAGTACACCCACTCCCTCACAAACACATTCGTTGGCCAAATCTCAGGTTCCAGAATTTTATTCGCCATGTCTTTAAGCGTACCAATGCGGGCAAAGCGCCAAACCCGCCGTTAAAGTTACCGAACCTTTTCCCGAAAGATTGGCAGTTATCGGCGTCAAGTGGCGGGTGTTGACGAACTGTAGACAGAGTTCCACCAGGTGCGGTAGACTGTAATTGCCAGCACAGCAAAATTAAAGGGTATCGAAGGCAACCCCCGGGTTTACTAGTACTTATTTCACCATCTACACATCGCGGTAGGTGACAAGTTCGACTGTTTCCCCTGGTGAGCCGGGCCGCCTGGTTTTCAGCTCCAGCGGACTTGTTGGTATAAGTGAAGTGTCGCTTGATTGATGTCTTCTTCTCCCTATTATCGCCACTACCGTGATCTAATAAATCACCATGCGTTGTCGGACAAAGTAAGTGGATTTACGAGAGTGGATTGTCGAACCCGAAAGAAAGACGGTGTAGTACTAAGCAGTGCCAAAAAGATTGACGTCATGTTGTGTTCACCAGCAGAAAACTATGCCTCAATGCCAGCAGAAGACGTATGTTTTTCGGATCATCGGTTGTGCAGAACGGTTGCGTCGTACAAGTCCGCCATCCCTATTCATAAAACCGTTACGTTTCGACTATGGAAACATACGACCATGAATGAATTTCACGAGAAAATAGGAGCAGTTTCGGAGAAGTATAGTGAATACGACGAATCCTCCCCCATTGATGAATTTATCACCGGTTATATCCAAGAACTAAATAACGTCGTTGATCAGTGTTTTCCGTTGCGAACTCGGAGGGTACGTCAAAAAGAACCCCCGTGGATGAGCGTTCCCTTGAAGAATTTAATAAAACATAAAAACCAAGCCTACCGCCAAAGATGCCAGTCCCGTGATACACCTGAATTCAGTCAGTACGATCAGCAGTTCAAAGCCATGAAAAAAGCAGTACGTTTAAAGATTTTGGACGAAAAACGCAACTACTTCGCTCGAAACAGAGGAGAGACAGACAAAATATGGTGGGAGTTAGGCAGATTACTTCGGAAGTGGAAAGAAAAAGAAGAGCCGCCCGTGGATCCCAACGTGTTAAACGCACACTTCGTAGAACAGGGATTGCACGGAAACGATCACCCTGTACCATGCGTGCCACCCGAGGGTGGCGACACTAACCCATTGCTTTGCAGGTTTAACGATGTGACCGCCGATGTCGTCGCACTCCTGCTGAAAGGGATGGCAAAACGGAATAAGAGCCCCGGTCCCTGCGGGATGCCAACCAAAATCCTTGCAGGCGTGAACCAGTTCCTTGCCAGGCCGCTGACAATTATGATAAACGCCTCCCTCAAAGCAGGAGTGTACACCATCTATTTTCAAAAACGCTGACGTAGTTGCCATCCCGAAGCAAGCTAACGCACGACAGCCGGATGAGTCCAGACCATTTCTCTGCTGTGCAACATATCAAAAGCCTTCGAAAAAGTCGTCCAGAACCAGCTTGTCGCCATTTTGAAGGCCGAAAATGTGTTGTCGGAGAAACAGTCGGGATTTCGGGATGGGCACTCGTGTGAGACTCTACTGCTGAAGCTGTCCGAAAAATGGCGGAAGGCAATGGATGATGGGAAAATCACAGCCTTATGCCTGCTTGACCTGAAGAAAGCATTCGACTCCGTTTCCCACGCGAAGTTAATTGAGAAGTTACACGCAATTGGCGTCCGTGGCGGCGCGCTTAAATGGTTTCACAGTTACCTGACATCCCGAAAACAACGTGTGAAAATGTCCCGAAACGTGTCCGACTGGCTGCCAGTGCAGTCTGGGGTTCCGCAGGGCGCACGCCTGGCCCCGGTGCTGTACACGTTATATACCAACGACATGCTGCCCGGACTTGACGCTGAATGTTTTGCAGATGACACAGTTCTGTACGGTGTTGGTACCACGCACGAGGAGGCGGCTTTGAACCTTGGTGTCCAAGTGGAAAAGGCGACCGCCTGGTTCACGGAGAATTCCCTTTGCGTCAACGAAAAGAAATGTAAGCTGATTTACATTTGTTCACTCTCGCGAAAAAGCCAACAGGCGCCTACAATTAGTCTGAACGGCTACCAGCTTGAAGCGGAGAAATGCGTCAAGTATCTTGGTGTGCATATTGACCAGAATCTGAAGTGGGAAGAGCAGTTTGACCATGTGTTACGGAAGGTGAACTATGGCATCGCAATGATAAACGCAGCAAAGGATGGTCTGGACATGCCACAGCGGAGAAGTCTTTACCATGCTTGCGTGCAGCCACATCTTGACTATGGGTCGGATACGTGGTCACCAGCATCTTCGACTTTACGCGGCAAGCTAGCCAGAGCCCAACGGAAAGCACTGCAGCCAATTACTGATTACAAGGAGCGGGTGACCCCCGAGCTGTATCAGCGATTACGCATCCTGCCGTTGTTCGACCGTTGGAAGCAGTCCGAAGCCGTCTGGTTGTACAAGATCTACAACCATGAAGTGTACAACCCACCGCCCTACTTGGTCGAAATGGTCAACTTCAAGGATTTGTCGTCCCAGTATAACCTCCGGAAACCAAAGCGAATCCAAGCCAGAGCAAAGAAGAAAATTGGAGAAAGTACGTTGGCAATGCGTCTGATGAACGTGTTTGAGCGGATTCAAAAAACTAATATGGAGATACTCAATGTTAGCGGTGTTGGCTTCTTTAAGTTTGCTCTGAAAACGATTGATCTGTTCGAATAATCTCTTTTTTGTTGTTAACCTTTAGCTGTTTTTTACCGACCAGACGTTGAAGTCCCGTTAACCGGGTTGTCTGCTCTTGATATATGAATGAATGAATGAAACACAGACTCGTGCATTGTAACTCCTGTACGAGTATTGAACTATTATAATAGTTCAATATAGAATATATATTCTATGCAACGGTACAGGGTCCCATGAAGGCATTTGCTATCCGAAAGAAAATAGCACACAGCGCCATGTCAACGCTTAAAAGAGCGACAGAAGCAATTTGGCATGAATTAAAATTCATTGTGACTTAGTAATGCCAGCATTCAGCGTACAACAACGACACAATTAGTATACCATGGTGCTCGCACTTCAGCGGTTGAGCGGGGCCATCTGTTGCGCAAGCGCTGCTTTCCAAGTGGCCATCTGTGGTCGGTTAATCCTAAGGTCATTAAACGGGCATGACCACTCCAGGTGAATAGCCCCCAGGTTGACGACGTGACCCGTTTTCCGGCTACGACGCACGTATACGCCTTTCCAATAATCCGACCCGTAGCGAGCTATGACGGGTTGATCTTCTTTCAGGATGTCGGAGGCCAGAACAATCTTGTGCGGGGCACACTGCTGCGCCGCTTCCCATTCATTGCGTGTAATCAGGAAATCCACGCCACTGATCCCGACCACCTCTGCCGGCCACCAGTAATCGCTGTGCGGATTGACGTCAGCGAAAACTTTCGCGTTGTAGGTGAATTCGCTATAACCGATTCGCAGCAGCGAACCCAGTCGGGGTTTCGTCGGGAAGGGGAGCTGTGGTTTGGTGTCGGAATGCTTGAACTGGTAAATGTCCAGCAGCTCGGTGTCGAGCAGCAAGCGGCTCTGCAAACAAATCCTTATATTATTCCGACTTCCAAGTACCTACTGTACCATCGCATTTAGATGCTCAAACGAAGGCCGCAAGATCTTTTTAGAAGGTCAATTAAAACCTATTTAGTAATACGTACTAACGGGTACAGTACCCTGCTGTGTTTCGGTACTGCGACGTCCGGACACTTCCACAATATGCACTCGACGCCACTCGTGTACTCGACACCAGAAACACGGTTTTCGTTAAACTGCTCTACATAGGAAAACTTAGATATTTTTATTGCTGTCTCTCCTGTACTGGTATAAAACCAACAACAAGAGCAACAACCAGCACTTAATCGATTTTTGAAAAGTTTTTGTCATGTGGCACAACGGGAATATTAGCGTGTCTCTGGTGTCCGATACGCGAATCCACATTGCCAATCCCGGAGCAATTCTCTACACCTACTTTAACGGGGCCGTTAGCCAGCTGCGCATCGGTGAGCAGCGGGAAGCGGACAAGGAACAACGCCTTTCCCAAAACATGACGACGATTGGTCTGGGATGGCTCCAGATTATCACGAGCACAGGCGTCCATAGCCCATCTACAACGGCCGAAAACTAACGAATTACTGTAAAGACAGGAAGTGACTGGACAGTCAACCATGGAAATGCGGTTAATGCGTCTTCTTGATAAAATTCTTGCTGTTAGCCCTAAAATTCTGGATGCCGGTTCTGTACCTGCTTTTAAATTCCCACATAAATCTGTCGATCTGTCTAGAATGTTTACATTAGTGGTTAGCTTTCTTGTGCGACAAGACGAAGTCCCTTTGGGGTTGTCTGCTCTTTTGCCGTAATAATAATATTATTACCAAGGCATTATGCAGCAGAAAACAGCGAACACCTTACTTCTCCGCGGCAGTATAAATGACATTCTCCTCAGCACACAGTACATCACTTTGTAAAATCAATTCCAGGGTATCCTGTCCGATCGCGGTGAAATGCTTCGACTGCAGTACCACGCTGCAGTTGGCGTCCACCACGGCCAGGCACTTCGTCAGCAGACCAGCCAGGCAATCGTGCGTCGGATATTTGACCTGTTCAGAAAGACGTAATGAACGTTCCACATCTGGTAGGGTACAGGAATACCAACCTTTTCCAAGAAGATCAGGCAATTATCTGCATTGAGGTGAGTGTTGACGAACTGCATGCAGAGTTCCAACAGCTGCGGTAGATTGTACTTGTCCGCACAGTAAATCGTCTCCAAGACATTCTCCGGGTTTAAATCACCATCCACAGACCGAGTATACAGGTATCTACAGTAGGAATTCTGTAGTCTTTTGCGCTCACTAGTCGTCATGTTCACGAAGAGTTCCAAGAAGATTTTAATGCGTACTCCATTATTTTACTTCAGTGTGAGAAAGACATCGACTGGGATACATTCAGAATATCTTTAAACAACGTAGAGAGACCTCCCCGACCAGTGATAATGTGCACAGTCAGACAGCGTACTCACTTGAGCATGTTAGCGAAGGCTTCGGGAAGAATCTCTGGAATATCGATGGGTCCGTCGCCATTTTCATGCAAACATCCGTTGAACATGGTGTTGAAGACATCGCTGGCAAGACTCAACACAAACCTACAACGTCAACATTCACCAGCTATCTCAGCAAGCGTAGAATTGCACAAAGACTGACTTGTGCGCGGAGAAGGTCTTCACGTCACCATACTGGCGTCCGACGGTGAACTGCACGTCGCTCATGTCACCAGTGGCAAAAATATGCTTCAACTGGTCAGCGAATTCGGGGTGCGTTGCTCGCCATTGGGCATCCCGGGCAGAGGGAGGCGATGTTCCTGACATGGCTGTTCGCCGAAAAGCGATATTTGTGAAAGCTCTTAACCGCACCCGATGAGTTCTCCTTGCAAGTAGAAGTATCAGTGCCAATTCCCAAAAGAGTTATAAACATGAAACCATTTTTAAGCACCCAAAAAGCGTGCTCAAATCCGGAGAAGACATTAAACACTATTTATGTTGACAGCAGAAAGCAAGAACATGGGAAGAACACCAAATCGCAGACGCACTCGCAGCCTCGCAGGCCAAATGAGAATCACACGCCACTGTCACCTGGGCGGTTGGACACATGATCAAGTTCTAAGCGGCAAAAGCTTTATATTTCACATTTCCGAAGGGAGAAGATAACTACTTTCGGAATAACTCCCTTAGGCTTCTATCAATTAATATCTGTTACGTGTAGACTTTGTTCTGATGCTCGGCTCATTTTAGTTCGATATATGGTCTGCTGCATCTTTGCCTTGGCGTGTCAAGTTTCACCAGACACGGGATGTTTTCTTGATTGTGTTTAATACACAAGAGCATAAACTCAGTTTATGCATTGTTCGATTAATTTAGCATGTAGTGCTTATCGCCTATCGGTAAAATATTCAGTGAAGCTGATACCGAGCGGCGAGCACAAACCAGTAGTTTTCAAGCATCTGCAGAGTAGTACAATGCTCATCTACTACGAGTACATAGCGAGCATCGGTCACAGAAAACAAAATTAAAAGAAGGAGGCCGGGGCGCGGCCGCCAAACAGGTTTTTACCGACTAGAAGGGAAATACAGTTCCATATTGATCCTTATGATTTCAATCATACTGCGTGCGACACATTTGGCACTTGGTGCGATGCTGCAGTTGTTTATAAAGGAGATCGGGAAGAAATTGTTCATCGGAACGGGCGAGAGTCGTTCTACGTGTTTTGTGTGTACAGTACTGCAATGTTTAGTCTGAAAATAATGCGTGGGTAATGGAGCGAGTACGTGTAGATAACTACAGACAGACGGTACAAAGTTCATAATTATTGATAATTGCATCTTTTTATCATTCGCTCACTAACCGTCATGTCGGCAACGGGTACTACGAACTTATCTGTGTGTACTAACTTTAGCATTACAATGCACACGTGGTTCCAATGTACAAAATATTCTTTCAAGTGCAAGGGGGAAGATATACTGTACACTGTAGCGACTGTACAGTTTGTACATGCTTCAGAAGCTCCGAGTTCCAATGAGAAGAACTTCGACTTCATATGTGCGATTATGTTTCACTACCACCTTATGGAGGTTTGACTTATCGGCTGCCCCCACTAGAGTGACACATCTCCCCCCCCCCAGGCGCCACTGGCAGTCGTAAATATACAAATTTAGGAATTCTGTTTCTCGAGCGGTAGTTGTGCCTTGGAGCTGGTACAACTTTGCATAGTATTGCATTTACATTCTCACGCAGCAGGAACGAAGATGCGCGAGATAAGTCGAATTTCATGAACAGTTTAATTCGTCTTTTACAAGTTTTGTTGCACAACTGGTGCATAATGTAGAAATGTTCCAGGCTTTCCGAAATGTTGCTCGCTACGTTGGACACACCAAATTATTTTCACGACTGTTCAGAAAGAAGGACGGCCACCAGCAACCTTCTACGGGTAAACCCGTCCCTTAAAGAGTCTATTATCGCTAAAACGCGTGAAGCGTTCTTGTAAAATGCTCAATCAAGTTTTTCGTGCAACTGTTAGGTCAAATCGTTATTAGCTAACATATTTAGTGGCATGTTGTGAGTAAAGTAAAGCACGTAATTTTGCATCACGTGTTCGTCTGCGTTTGGTTAGCAGTTATCAACGATACTTCCAATAGCCCTTTTCTGGAATCGCTTCGTGGTCGGGATCCCAAAGCCAGCGCCGATAGGCAAAAAAAGAAGACCGATAATCAAAAAAGTACAGATGGGGGTAGTTCTGATCCGCTGCATGGACCAGGATCCCCGTATCGACGATTTCGAAGGTTAGGAGTTGGTGCAGACAATTATTACAAAAATATTGGTAATGGCAGTAGTACGGGAATGCAGGTCTGACAGAAACCGGGAGGGAAGTGATTACGGTAATGGTGGAGACGACGGAGACGACGGTGGCGATGGTGGAGACTAGACTGTTGTGGAAACGCAGCGCGATCGTCTCCCTCCCCTTTTCCACGATAGAGATTAACTGATCGCAACTACCACAGAAACAGTCCCTCTCCTGTTTTTTCAATTGTTGCCTATATAATTTTTGTTTGTTGTATACTGACCTAAGTGACCTTCATGTTTTTCATGTAATTACTGATTCACCATTTTTGTCGTAACGTTCTGTAGATTTCTGTGTCCCTTTTCCACTGTCTCGCTGTCTGAAGCTTAAAGGGGGCAACCGCTCCGTGCAAGGACAATAAACTCAATATTATTAATGAAAGCAGCAGGAATGTGGAACATCACCGAACGTGCCCAATATCGAGGAGTATCTTGTAAAGGATCGTAACTGCTGTGGATTTTTCTACTCGACTATAGAGTCTCGAGTAATGCACAAGCATTGCTATCGCAGTGTTCCAGTGCACCGTATTTACTGATAACACAGCGCAAATATAGATAATGTACATATGCATGGCTTTTCAGTAAATCTACTCGCAGAGCAGTCGAATAACTTAATTCCTTAAGTAAACAAACAACCTACGCCAAATGGACTTTTATGAGGGTGACGAAATTAATGTGCACATTCATAATGTTCAGCAATAATTACGTATGCGTCAAGTACAGCATGTTACGAGTGTTTTCACTTTTGCGAAAAAGTTCTGGCGGTTCTGCCATAAATGCTTAAATACAGTAAGTACAACACATTTCAACTGTCTGTAGATACATTTTTTAAAAGTGTTTGATTGTTATGCATCAAATGACATATTTCGTGTACGCCAAGTCGCTGACTTGAGTTTGTAGGTAGATGGGCAATTTCCGAGAAGCGATGTATTTATTTTAATGTATTTTGCATCAGAGCAGGTATTGAAGTATTGAAAAAATCAAAGTATTGAAATTCACTTAGAACATTCCTTATTAATATAATTGGTTGACACATTCTGGCCCACTTCCTTCCCATCACAACCACGGCATAATATTATAAGAGTCCATACAGCTTAGGATGAAATGGTCGCATACCCAACATCTCCACATTCAGTACGCATGCAGCGCAGTGCACTGTACGACTGAGTTCAAAATATCCGTTTCGTACAAGTGCACTGCACCGCTTGCGTACACAATGCTGGGTATGGGGCTATGCGACCATTTAGTCCTACAATGTACAACTTGAACTTTTAGTAGCCATACTCGCTACAGTATCACGTATTTTATTTGGTAAACAGTTATGGAAACGATCCTTTAGTAATGGAAACGCTATGTGACTTCAGTACGGCATTAAGCGAATTGTTGCATTTCATAGGTAGCAAAATTCGAAAATTAACTGAAGAAGCGCGTTCTCATCCTGCTTCTCTCACGCAGCGTTTTAGTCTTGCTGTCGTAAATGAAAATGCTACGGTTGTTTTGAGCATGTTGCCCTTTAACATTAGAGAAGACAGAGACTTCGGTTGTTTTTTTAATGTTTAAACATTTCAACTTTCAAGACAGTATTATACCAGCGCCTGGAACCTTGTTCATTGGGTGGCTATTGCCAATAAATATGCGCCATTCGGGATTTCCAAGTGGCCATCTGCGAGCGTCTGGTTCTAAGGTTAATAAAGGGCATGTCCGTCCACTCACTGTAACCAGAACTACTAAAAAGGTTGACGACGTGCAAAACTTTCAGGCGGCCAATGTATGTGACCTCGCAGTCCGGGTGTCCGAAGAGAAGCAGAAAAACCTTTTGATCATTCTTCAGGATGTCGGCGGCCCGTACAATCTTGTGCGGAGCGAACTGCTACGCCGTTTCACCTCCATGAACCAGATAGTCCGCTCTACGCATCCCGATAATTTTCACCGGCCACCAGTAGAAAATCTGTGTGTTAACGTCAACGAATACCTGAACGCTGAATGTGAATTCGGCATAGCCGATTCGCAGCACCGAACCCTGTCGAGGTTCCGTCGGAAAAGCAATTTGTGGCGTACTGTCAGAATGCTTAAATTGATAAATCTCCCGCAGATCGGAGTCAGTAAGTAAACCACTCTGGAAAAAGGAAATAACAGTTGATCCATATGCTTTTTTGACCTCGTCACAACCTACTTTAACGGGTTCGTTGGCCAGCTGCGCATCGGTTAGGGGAGGGATACGGACGAGGAACAACTCCGATCCCAGCATTTCACGGTGATTGTTTGCCGATGGCTCCCGACTGGCTCGTAAACAAGCATCTGCCGACCATCTGCAAGTTACAAAAACATCTTAGGTTGCAACAATCAGCTTTGAATTAAGGCCGACACACTTCTCCACGGCCGTGTAGATGGTGTTCACATCAACGGATAACATATTGCGCTGTAAAATAATTTCCAGTGTATCCTGCCCGATGACGCTGAAGTCGTTCGACTGTAAAACGGTTTTGCCCTCTGAATCAACAAGTGTCAAGCATTTTTCCATAAAATGTGCAGTGCACTCATGCTTCGAATGTTTAACCTGCGCAGAAGAGCACCAGATTTAATATGGCATTATGCAACAGCAGGGGTGCACGGTGCACCTAACTTTTCCGGGAGTGATGTGGACCTGGTGGACTCTGTGGCTGTCGTTTTCAACGGCGACAACACGCTCACCTGCCGGGTGATCTTTCACGCTCTGCATTCCTGGCTGATGGCAAAGACGGCGAAGCCAGACAAAAACGTGCTTCGGTGTATGAGCCAATCACCATGCAATGCAGTCGAGGTAACTTGGCTCAGTGCCGCTCTACAATAGTATAGGCTACTACGTACTTGGTCTTCTGCACTGGAGGATCGAAAAGATGCATCGAAATGTGCAGAGACTTTTTTTGGACGTATGTTACTGCGTTTTGTTGATGGCTTGATAGTTCCGCGAACACAACATAAAATTTGTAGCGATATGCGCGGCGTCGGATATCCAACGGCCGCTAGTGGGTCCGCTTGGGTTTGCCGGCATCAGTTAAGGTCCATACCAATGGTTCATGAATCTGCATGCAAGGATGGTGTTTGTCTAACATTGGTCGCCACTTTATTATGCTGTCATATGAAATTGTTCAGATCTGTAGGCTAAGCCTTAAAGTTCCCTTATTTCTATTTTCTTATCAACAGCCATCGCTCGATCATCTTTATTGAATTTTACGCTATGTTTATTGCTATAACCGCTTCTACAGTATGAGTCGATCTACTGCAACGGATCGGTGATTAATGTCAGAAGCCTGGTGATACCGTGCTACTGATGCATGGTTTACGGTGCATCAGTAGTGAGCTGTACAGTGGAACAACAACTACAGATACGGCCCTGTTAAATCTCTCTGTTAACGTTGACCTTCATACAACGAGAAAGCTTTAGCTCCTGCGGCAGGCCAGAGGCGGACGAAAGAATTTTTTTAAGACAGATGCAACAAGGAAGCGATAAGTGTGTTGGGTACAATCCTGGACCAGGTTCGCATAGAGGAAGTGTTTTTGTAGTGAATTTTGTTTTAATACTCAGTTTGTACATGTACAATACAGTATGTGTCACTTATTAAAAGTTACGCACACTGCACACACAAAATCAAAATCAACTAGCATTATATGCATCGAAGTCAGAACTTTGATGGCATGCCAGAAAGCTCTAGCCAATCATGCAAGGAGACATTGGGTCATTCGCGAGGAATAAGGATTCTTCTCCCTCAACTGCACTCAACAGTAATTTTTGATACAGTGTACGAACGATGACAGAGCACGCCTTCAACTTACATCTTATAATATTATTAATTGGTGCGACACTTTCTGACCATATTCTTCTTTCCAAACCATGTTATACATGCTGTACTTCTAACCGTCAAATTCGTTAATTCGTCAAATTCTAATCATGAATACGTTTATAGGCGAACAAGAACATTATGTAGCAGTAAAAACGGATCGTTGTTGTTTTGCAAGCCAACTTCAATTGGTAACGACTGTAAAAACTGTAAATTAAATCTTTTGTGCTGAACAATATGCAATAAACCTCCCAGAACAGTTCAATTTAAGACCGATCAAACCACCACAAAAATTGTAAGTGAATGAAGAAAACATGAAAAAATCTTTTCTGTTTTCGAGCGGAGATTGAAGCATTAAAGATAATAACAGACCTACGACTTCATAAAGCAGAAAGCCCAAAGTCCCCAAACATCGCATATAATATATAATTACCAAAAAATTAAGTGATCGATTTCGTGCATTTGCAAGGGTTCAGTTTGGCCATCTACTACGAAACCGATGATTTCCAAGTGGCCATCTGGGCGCGACTGTTTCTAAGATTAATAAACGGGCATAGGCACTCATCGTATCGGGGACTTTTAAGATTGACGACATGCAAAACCTTCGAACGACCAACGCATGTGACTTCGCAATCTGGGTGCCCAAAGCGATGCAGGAAAACCTTTTGCTCGTTTTTCAGGATGTCCGAGGCCCGTAAAGTCTTATCCGGCGCACACTGCTCCGCAGTTTCACGTTTATTCCGTGTAATAACAATAAAGTCCGCTCCACGAATCCCAATAACCTTTGCCGGCCACCAATAGGAAGTATGTTCATCAACTTCAACGAACAATTCCGCGTTGAGCAACAACTCCGTATCGCCGATCTGCAACCCCGAGCCCTGTCGCGGTTTCGTTGAAAACGGTGGCTGTAGTTCATTGTCGGAGTGCTCAAACTGATAAATCTGTCGCAGCTCCGAATTCAGTCAGTAAACCACTCCGGAAAAAAAGGTGATAACTGTGTATTAACATGCTACTTTGCTGGCAACAACTTACGTTAACCGGTCCGTTGGCCAGCTGCTTTTCGGTCAGGAGAGGGAAACGGACGAGAAACATTGCCATTACCAGCATCTCACGGCGGTTGTTTGGCGTGGGCTGCATCCCACACTGGACGAAGGGCAACGGACTTCTCCACGGCAGTGCAGATGGTATTTTCATCAACGGACAATGTATTGCGTTGCAAAATCATTTCCAGCGTGTCCTGTTCGATAACCCTGAAGTCCTTCGACTGCAAAATGGTTTTGCTCCCTGCATCCAAGTGCTAAGCACTATGTCCATATATCCTGAAGCGCTCTCATGCTTCGAATATTTAACATGCGCAGACAAACACTGGATTATACCACGCGAACCGCGGTGAGTCACCTTCATGTTATAATACAGTACAACAGTACAACCAACCTTTCCCAGAAAGACTAGGCTGTTACTGGCGCTCGGTGTGGAGTTGATGAACAGTAGGTAGAATTCGGTTAGATGCGACAAATTGTACTTGTCCGCACAGTAAGTAATCTCGAAAACATTTTCCGGTGTCAGATCGGTGTCATACACGGATCGAGTATACAGATACCTAAGATGCAAAGTAAATAAACAGAACTCTTTCATCGTTTTGCTCCGTGATCGTCATGTCGGCGACAACTGAGCTCTAAGAACATGACTGTGGTCACTTCAGCATTATGGCGAAAGCTTCCGGCATAATCTCCGGAATATCGATGGGACTGTTACTCTCGCCACTTTCCGGCCAACTTCCGTAAAACATCGTTTCAAGTACACCGCTGCTAAGGCCCAGCACGTATCTGCAATGAAACTTCCATGTCGCAAGCGCAGCAAACGTGAAGTCACCAGAGGGACGAAAGGAATGACTTGATAGCTAAAAATGATTTCGCTTCCCCAAGCTGTCTACCGACGACGGAGTGAACATCTACCATCCACCCCTGACCCAGGTACACTTCACCTGGTCAACAATCTCTGGATGTGCACTACGGAGCCATTGTGACGAATTTCCGGTCATGATGAAATGACGAGCTACCGAGAATCCAAGATGAGGCAGAATCGCAGCTAAAGACGTAATCGCAATCCAGACCCATGTGATCGCCGCACGTAATCGCAATCCCGACCACGATGCCACGGAAGAGAGGTTTCTACTGAGAGACACAGACAGTCGGTGCTAAGCTCATATGATTGGCGGAAGACTGCCGGGAATACAGTAACAATAATATTCAGAAATATGCTGCCAAATTGTAAGAGATGAAGAAGTTTTTCTTTCACAGGCAGCAAAACTCGTTAACCATGTAGCTAAATGTACGTAGTACATACTTCCAGTTCCGTCTACGCGAATTATATTATCTCTGAACATGGGATGCTTTCTTATCCAGTGTGTTCAATAAGAACAGGCGCTAAACAGCCAACAGAGCATAAACACTGTTATGCATAGAAGTAGTTTGAGTACTGCATCATTGCATGTCGATCAAATGATCAGTGAAGTTGTTGCCAAGCAGAGAGCGGAAATTTCAATCACATTTTCCTAAGCTCTAGTAACTGTTATTATTATTGGTTATGTTTATCATAACTCAGGCGCATTCCCCGCTCAACAAAAAATCAGGGCTTAAAGAGATATCTCACGGAATTTGTTTGCAGTCATGGTATTCCACAGGCGACTAAAATATCTACAAAACGGAGAACGTGTGCAACTGCGGGGCATAAACTATGCGATTCGGATTGGCTACTTTGGGAGCGATTTCTGACCACTTCGTTTGGCGGCAAGATCGAACAACCTTTGACCACTATAGGCCCCTGTAACATTCTGTATATAAGTATATTTATCGGTACTTTGCTTCTGTGGATCAATCCGGTAGGGTCCGCATGTCAAACGGTCACTGTATCCCTTGCAGCAGGTTACGACATGCCCCGGAGTTACGTAGCGCCGCGGCTGCTTCTTCAGCCATTTCCACAGTGGACGTAGCGATGGGCAGTCACAATGTGCATCACGCACGCAAAGTGGATTGTATTCAATTTCCAGGAAGGGTCGCGCGTCGGCACTAGACACACTAGCCAGCAGACGCGCGTCGATGCGAGTTAGCTGGTTGGCGGCAAGGCTTACGACCTCCACTTTCGGCAGGACGAAATCGTGGTCAAAATACACTTGCTCAATCCCGTTTTGGTCCAGAAAAATAGCCTGGCAAAACAGCGCTATTAAACATGTTTCAAGAATCTGGAAACAAGTTGAGGTCTTGTAAGTAGAACATTATATGGAAATTCCACAAAATATTTACTAAATATTTTTGTAGAATTTCCATCGCGTACCTGTAAACTGCGTGCGAGCGGTTCCCACACTGACCAGTCCAGTCGCGGCATAACGTTCTCGGTAATCCAAATCGTGGCGAGTGTCGGTGCAGCACGGGCCGGTGTCAGCTGGGTGAACGCGTCGACGGCAATAGCGGACATGCGATTGTGTGACAATTCCAGTCTGCCCAATGCCATGAAGCCGGCAAACGTGGTGCGTGTTATCGAGGGTAGATAGATAAATTCTAATTTTAAGACAGTTAGTACCGGTTGCACGTTGCGCAGGAAACTGTCAACAGGGAAAGCCCGGTCATCGGGCGCCACCCATATATTGGCCAACGAGATGCTACGGAGATTGGGAAGGCGCGGCAGCGGGACGAAGGCTGTGTGCAAGCAGCTGGGAGCGCAGAGCTGATACGGCGAGTATCGGCTTGAAGAAAACACTTTTCCAATGTTAAGCAAATCAATGCTTCGGGAGATGAGACTGACGTTGTAAGCCCTGCTGGTGCAGGAGCACTGCGGCCACGCTGTATTGCAAGCTGGCAGAGCGTAGCTTACACAGTCATCTTCCTTATGATAGTATTCCCCGAATGGGTATGGGTACGCACGGTTGTGATTGCGGAAGCCACTGATGTACTCCAAAGAATTAGCCGGAAGAGCCGGGGCCGTCAATATGCCGGCAGTAACCGATTCCATGAGAAGCAAAGTAATTAGATCACAGATGATTAGGACTTGCTGGCGAGACATTATTGGCGGGAGGGGTGGGAGGGCTTCGTCAAGAACGTTTCGAATGATTAAGTTGTGTACAGATGTTGTGTACGGATACTGCAACTTGTTTTTTGGTTTTGAAGATTATCACGCGTACAATCGAGCCGCGGTGATGCGGAAGTAATTTAAAAAAGCAGCAACAATACCACCCTCGTCGAGTGATTATGTATTTGCACGCTACTGAGCAGCCGAACCGGATTTCGTGAAATCAGCGCCACGCTTCGCCGGAAAGTCTGCGGAAAATGTCGGCAATAAATGCCACGTGGAAGCGCACGTAGAATATTAATTATGTTATGATCGCATACAAGCGTTTTGTACAAGCCCGTTAGTTATTCACAATTCCGTTTAATATTACACTTGAAGATCGTTAAGTTTCATTCAACTCAGCATCCGTTAAGAGTACTGTTTTTTTATACTCGTAGTAGGTCATCGGTATGCCAAAACGAGACGTAAACTTTGGAGTATAATTGATTTTCGACCGGAACGCAGCGAAGGTCCTCTAATTCAGATAATATTAAAAAATGTCTGTCTCTTTGTCTGTGCGGTTCGGAAGTAAGAAAGGACATCATACAAGAAAGTAAACGACGTCATATAAGGAAGTAAAAACGACACCATAAAAGGAAGTGAAAAATCACGTCATATATGTAGCCAATGGATGAAATTGCACCAGAGTTTCGTGTTGAAAAACTCCGCACATGGTGTTTTATGTTCTACATAACGTGAGCGAAGCCAAAAAGGGGGCAGGCAGCGGTGAGACCTGACTGTGGTGAAGTTTCGTTACGCGGCCACAATAAGGAAGCAAAACTCGGTGCCGCTTAACTCGCAGTAGCCCTTGTGACGGAAATAGAAAATATGGGATCCACAGCTCGCGGAACTACGAGTCTACGAGTAGCAACTACTACGGAACTCGTAAATATGAAACAATCGACGCCTTTTCAAACCAAGCACATTTTGACACAGGTACTAGGCTCCTAATTCAGCAAAATCTCATTTTTATAAAATCTCGTTTTTGTACCGTGTATGCCTAAAAATAATTTCATTTACAAAGATTCATTGTTTGTGGCCAAACAAAAAAGAAGGAAAATTAAATAACCAATTTTTAATGTGTAACTTAACAGCGGTGCCATGGGCTACTGCAGGCGTGCCTTATTCGAGTCGGTGCTCGAGCACTGAATTGTCCACGGCTAGCGCAATGTTCGAAACTGAAAATTTACGCATATGAGCCCAGTAACTTTAACGGCAAAAAGTACTTCCTGATATCGCTTAAAACATTTGCTGATAGACAGTTTTTTTTAATACGTTATATTCTAGTGCTTTAAAAACCGTTTCGCAAGGAACATGCGTTTGAAAGATTAGGCCCATTAGCTTTTAGCTTTTGTTGTGCACCAAAATTGAGACTTCTTGGGCTTCGTCTGGTTACCTACCATTTTTGTGTGCCGTTTTCCAAAAATTCCAGAAAAAACTATAAGTGGGAATGCGGTGCCAATTAGCCAATATGCGTCGTATGCGAGGATAAGATGCAAGAGCGTAGGCAACCTTAAACTTGCGATACAACTTACAAAGGGCGACGGAAACTTCTCACTATTTTGCCAGCTTGCCGTTTGAAGTGATACACAACCAACAATGGTCCAACATCCTTTATTCTACACCTTATTTTTTAACCTATCGACAAAAAACAAAAAGTATGTGATAGGGCAAAACGAAACGCGCTGTTATGCCACCGGAAACAAAGCCTGCGCTCCGGTCTGCTAATGCACCCATCGGTGCAGTTTCCTACTTTATTGTGAAAATCTGAATGAATCATTTTTAATTAATCTTCTCAATCAGCGTTGATGTATGCCAGCGAAACCGGTCGCTTCGAAATCCATTCTACATACTAATAAAAGACTCTACCGTAGTAAGCACAAGCTACATGGGAAATCAGGATGTTCTTAATTATTATTGCTACCCCCAGGAAGACCAAGATTTGTTTTGACTTTTTAATGTAAAAAGGTTGACTATCAAGTAGTTTCTTGGACCGCCTTTTTCGGCGGCTATCGCCTTTCGGAAAACACTTGTTGTGATTTTAAATAAACATCGTTTGCTTGTGGACTCTATAATGGGCAATAATTTTAATTTAATTCTGGAGAACAAGCTGATAATACGGTCTTATTATTTGAAGACGAATTAGAGTGAAAGAATGTGTATTAAAAGTAAAGCAGTCCAACGGCAAGCTATAGAAGAGCAAATTAGAATCCATAAACAAATGTGTTATAGTTTTCCATGGTGTCCCAGTCCTGCACAATAAACGCTGTGAGCGTCGACGGAGCGGGCACAGGTCTTCCTTGCCCTCCACCATACGGGAAACATCCTGTTAGATTTCCGTTTTCCACTTTCACTGCCACAGAAAAGCATACACCGGGCATAAGGTGGCACAGAGCGTTACACTCAAAAAATTCCATTTGCAAAAATTCGTTTTCGGGGTCTTCTGGCCAGTCAACGGTTACGCCCTGGATTATGGCGACACCTGCGATATCCATGCTGTGAAATGTTCGTAGAATGCGGTTTGTCCTCATGGTTATTGTGAAATTTTCCGCCTGGGATTTTGTATATTTGCATCCGCTCAAATTGTAAAATACGTCGCACGCTCCGTTTTGATAGTTAAAATTTGCAACTCCCAATTTCCCGTTACTGTTCGTCAAAAACGCGCATTTCATCCAGAGCTCATTGTCCTGCATTGTGGCGATGTCTCCTGTACCGGTCAAATTGCGGCTAAATGCAGCGTTCGGGCACTGAATTCTCCAACCATCTAGACGAACGACCTTCCGTGATGCTAACCGCGCTAGTTAAAAATAACACAGTATGTAGTCTTCATATTCGCAAGCATGGCTTACTGTACGTTTATACAATAACACTGCTTTACTATGTTTTATAATAATAGAATGTTTTTTTCTACGAAACTGAATCAGTTTGCAAATTAACATACTTAGTAGGGCATATAAGTGTTACGAAGCATTCAGTTTCAGTACCTTCGTGCAACAGGGGATCATCCAACGGACAGTCGTAGCGCTCCCTCATTCTTGCAACATCGAAATATCCTAGGTGCGATGGTATATCTTCGCGAGGACCAGTCGTCCATAGTTGAGGTAATCCAGGCTCCAACTCGACCGTCGGTGCTGCGGTTGCTGCATAGTCACGCATGCCTGCATGCATTATGCTGTGAATGTCGTAAGAAAATTTCAAGTCCGAAGTGTAATACGCGATCTCGAACGGCGAAGTGCGCCAGTGATCCATATTTTCTTCTGAAATCGCACAAAATAGTTCCAGTTTACAAATAATTAGCTATCCCTTAGCTTTCGTAACTGTCAGCAATACGCGTCCTTACCGCAGATATACAGGTTTTTATCAAATATGGGATTTATGTACTGGTTGCGGTCGGCCCTAAGATGTTCATGTCGCAGATCAAATACCGCATGTCCGAATTCGTGTAAAAATGCAATATCAAGTATCGTGTCAGAGTAATTTTGATACGGCCAAGTGTTGACGAAGATCAAGTTCTCGCCAGCGCTGTTGTACCCAAATTGTTCAGACCTCGGCGCACTGAAAAACCGAAGCCATGTAAACAGTCAAGTATCAATCTCTCCATATGGGAGAGCTTGCCGTTGAAATGTAATGCAGCATACCCGTGATTGCAAGGATTTCCCGGGTTTTCATGAATAATATCAATGTATAGAATGGGTGTTTGGGTACCGGAATCGGCTGGAAACATCCTTACACAGTTCCGCATCACGTTGTTAAGAATTTTAATCGCGCGGCCGGCGCTGGCTAAACCACGGACATTGCAGGTTCCAATGGTCCCTAAAATACCGCATTCACAAGCAATCACCACAGATCGGCGCAGGAGAACACCTGAACCTCAAACCTGCTGACAATTTTATGCGTTAAGCAATACTTAAACTGCTTGCCAGAGTTGTCAATATCACTGTAATACGCATAATAACAGTCTAACTTAGTCTTGTTACTATGGTGCAAAGCATACATACGAAATCTGTAAGGTATTCCTTGATATCTCGCAAACGGCCATCTCTGCGGACCAACTGGAGCACCTAGCACAAATTTGTTTGCAATAAACATTATTTTGGATGATGTCAATTACCGTAACTACGATTATGATTCGCTCAACACTGATTCGCTTGTTTGTCCCAAAAAAATACAACAATACGCTTTTTTAGCATACGTTCTAGCAGTACACTTTCTAGTTTTTTGTTGTGAGATAGATACACTGACAGATGTGTTTGCAGTATGTATATTTATTTACCGTACATGTACACGTGTCTACTGCTGGTTGCGCAGTTGTTTTACGCACATAAATATGTCCGTGTCCCATGGTAAAGGCTAATTAAGATTTCAGCATTTAACAGTAAATAGACAGCTCTCGGTCACCAGGACATTTCTGTTAGCAGCGTTCAACGGGGATAGCGGAGCCCAGACTAAATGGTTTTAATACCCGCGCCATTTTTGGTTGTCAGCACCAGGTTGCATTAGACGCCGGTTTAGTACATATTTTGAATTCATGATTGTATGCATTTCTTTTATTTTATTTTACTGGCTGTTGGCTAAAATAAATGTCCTACACCACTGAATCGTAAGCCAACACCGGTTGTTATCGCGTAGGGTCTAATACAGTAATAATTTTACGTTAGTATAACATCTTTAAAATATATGTAAGTGGAATAAGTTGCGGGTGGAATGAGTAGAGGAAAAGTACTACTTAAAAAATATGGAAGATAAAAGTTCTGCCGCAAAGGAAGAACACAGTTATAATTTCTTTAATTATTTGAAAGCTGTACAATGGTGCAGAAGGCGAAGCGAACAATTTTTGGCAACGAGAACTGCAAGAGTGAATAATACCGATTCATTAATACAGTTGTGATTTTCTCACGTTTTAACGGAAGACATCAGCAGCTTACTTTGTACTGTTCGTAGTATGAGTTTATACCACAAAATGAGCACAGTAAAGTCAGTAGGAGCGATTGTACGGTACAACGAGTACTAGATAGTACATAGTAGTACAGCAGCCACCGATAACATATGCATTATGGCTAAGGTGACATCATAGCTGCTGCTCCCTACTGGTGATCTCAGAGCTGCTACTTCCGTAACAAACTACCGTAACGGACACAGACCAGTTTCCGCAGTACGTTTGTGTAGTACCGGTACTTTATGGCAGCCACCGACGACATCTTGCATATCGATGCGTTGACGCCATAGCTGTATAGTTCCGTAAGACACAAAAACATTTTTGCATAGGTGCTGAATTTAGAGGACCTTCACTATTCGCGCTTCGCTTCGCTATTATAGTATCTACTATGTAGTATTGTATGTACAGGGGTACATGTTTAAAGTGCATGCATTATGTAAACACTGAACGCTGATCGCAAGTCCTACGATCACGAATGACACTAACGATTTTGGATGCTTTTTTAAAATTTAAGATTTGGCCATTTTAGTGCAATGGTGCGCAAGAATACTGATGCTTGTTCTGACAGATGCCAAATAAAAGCAAAAGGGCAAAAATGTATTAATTTTAGAAGCTTGCGAAAACCCATAACAAGAGAGCGTCCGATTGTTCATTTTAATTTCCTAGAGTAGCTATAGCAGTCGCCGTTCACCTCATACACTCTGCACACATACAGTCATGTGTGAGCGGTACAATGCTAAAGGCCTCGCATAAAATTTACGCATTTCAATTATCGCCAGTAAGGTTGCAACGTTCGACATACCATAAAATAACTCGTAATTACCTTGAAAGTGAAGCACTATTCGCAGCTTACCTCCGGCTTCGGAGCGGTTTTGGCGGATGTTGTCGTGGCGACAGGAACCCGCCGTCGATCCTGGTTTGCATGCCTCACTTCTAGCAGGTTGTCGTGATGTGGTTTCTTGAGTCGATCGTGGTCTGGTTTTAGCAGTAGATGGTGAGGGTTTTGGACTAGCTGATGGTGGTGATTCGGGCTTCCCGGGCTGGCAAGTTCCCCAGTCTTTGTATTTCTGATCATAAACGCAACGTAGCCCAGGGCAGCACTTTGCGTCAGGAACCAACTTTGAACATCCGGTTTTCGGTGACTGACAACACAGCCCTAGCTGTAAATGCGTCAAATATGTTTAAATTTAAAAATACTACTCGTGCAGTGCCTATATCAGATGCTACTGGGAGAAAACGTATGGCGTTCTTACCGCAATCCATGCTAAGGCAAAGGTCAATGCAATAGAGTACATCGCTGGTATTTAAAATCCTCAACAACCTTACAGTTACGGTATTTCAAAAGCGAAAAAATACTTAATTATAGGTATTTATGAGAGAAGACGAAAAAGTTCCAGTTCCTTTTATACATCATCAACGCCTACCAAAAAATGCAGTGCGCAACGAAACGTGCCGAACGTCCTTCCGTTCAAGAGTTGTCTCAGTTTCAGCAAAAGTTTTACATAGGCCACCTGTCAGTTCTTAGAACAAGCAACGTGATGCCAGTTTTACAAGAAGAATCGCACTCATAAAATACCGAAAAATTCTTATCTCACGATCCTTTTCTGCAAAGCAGGCATCACCACCACCGCTGACAGGAAGAACTGACACTTGTAAAAGTGCTTGCTAAAGCGTTTTGCCGCATACGAGACCAGATGTCGATAATCAATGCTGCGAAGCATTTGTTGATTGTTGGCAAGAAACACTTCAAGGCACTTGCTGGAATTATTATGTACAGTGAATGCTGACGTACGTTTACAAGTCTTTCAAGAATTGTGTACGTTCTGGATTCTTGTTGCAATGTCTATGTACGCGCCCAAGCGACTACAAAGATGTTGCCCTGTTTTTTTTGAAACCGCAATCGACTTCCAGACTTATCTACCGACAGAAGTTGTCTACCGACTACCGAGGATTGCGTCGTTAGGTGTTTCGTATTAAACAGCACCGACCGAATTGTCAAATACTGCATAATATGTTCAATGATCACATTAATTCATATTTAAAATTTAAATACTCGTACTAAAAGTGGTCGTTTAATTGTAGTCTTAGATTTAGCGCTGCCCGACACTATTGACCATTACCCAATTCCTGCCAAGATCTGCACTACATTAATATATTTTCCAAGCCCTGTTACTTTGCCGGGCCACAGGCGATATCGTATCCATGTAATTGCATTGACTCTCACTACAGTGTTCAGTGCGATAAGTTTCTTTCATTTCTATCATGTTATCCTGCTGTTAAGTAAAACGAGTGATGTCAGTCAATTTATACAGTCTGCTCACTCGTGTTTTTCTGTACAATAGTTTCACGCTACGCAGCAGGTTTAAGAAGGTACAAGCAAAGAAGGTGTAATGTATCTGTACAGCGTACGTGCATATACTGAATGCTTGGGTGACTATCACAAACCGGTAATGGCGCCGTATTTTCACTGACAAGCACGGATTTCGGCCAGCTGGATTTACGTGGAAAGGCTGACTGTTCACGCTGCGCGAACTTGCCGGCTACTGTCGATGGCTGAACTAACCGTAAGCATTTTAACTCGCCGTGAGTAAACAAAAAAAATAACATGAAATACAGTACTATGTTTTTCGTGTTCGAGCAGAGACTGAAGTATCAGAGATAACAACAGACCTGCGCATATATAAAGCAGAAATCCAACACATCGCACATAATTACCGAAAAATTAAGTTTGCCACCTCGTGCACTACCAGTGGTTCAGTTTGGCCATCTATTACTCAATCGATGATTTCCAAGTGGCCATCTGGGCGCGACTGATTCTAAGATTAATAAACGGGCACAGACGCTCGTCGTATCGGGGGCTTTAAAGATTGACGACGTGCAAAACCTTCGAAGGACCAACATATGTGGCTTCGCAGTCCGGGTGCCCAAAGCGATGCAGGAAAACATTTTGATCGTTTTTCAGAATGTCCGAGGCCCGTACAATCTTATCCGGCGCACACTGTTCCGCAATTTTATGTTTATTCCGTATAATAACAATAAAGTTCGCTCCACGAATCCCGATAACCTTTGCCGGCCACCAATAGGAAGCCCGTGCATCGATGTCAACGAACACTTCCTCGTTGTGCAAGAATTCGGCATCGCCGATCTGCAACACTGAGCCTTGTCGCGGTTCCATTGGAAACGGTGGCTGTAGTTTATTGTCGGAGTGCTTAAACTGATAAATCTGTCGCAGCTCCGAATCAGTCAGTAAACCACTCTGGGAAAAAGGAATAACTGTTTATTAACATGCTACGTTGCTGGCAACAACTTACTTTAACCGGTCCGTTAGCCAGCTGCGCATCGGTCAAGAGAGGGAAACGAACGAGAAACAGCGCCGCTCAAAGCAGCTCCCGGCGGTTCTTCGGTGACCGCTCCCGACCGTCTTGAACAAGCAACTGCTGACCACCTAGAAGCGAACAGCTACAGTCTTAAATTGCAACATTTAACGCAAAACGAAGACAGCGGACTTCTTCACGGCAGTATAAATGGTATTTTCGTCAATGGACAATGTATTGCGCTGCAAAATCATTTCCAGTGTGTCCCGTTCGATAACGCTGAAATCGTTTGACTGGAATACGGTTTTGCTCTCCGCATCCACCAATGTTAAGCACTTTTCCATATATCTTGCAGCGCACTCATGCTTCGAATTTTTAGCCTGCGCAGAAGAACACTGGATTATAAGGCATGAACGGCGGTTAGGCACCTTCATGCTATAATACACTGTAGTGACTGTACTGTATGAACTGTATTTCATACAGTACAAGTTGTACAACCAACCTTTCCGAGGAAGACTAGACAGTTGCTGGCGCTCAGAGTGGTGGTGATGAACAGCAGACAGAATTCGGTCAGATGCGATAGATTGTACTTGTCCGCACAGTATAAAATCTCGAAAACATTTTCGGGTGCCAGATCGTTGTCATCCACGGCTCGAGTATACAGATACCTAAGATGCATAGTTTGCATACAAAATTCTTTGACAGCTGCACTCACTAACAGTTATGCCGGCGACGAATTCTAAAGCATTTCTGGTGGTACTCACTTAAGCATTATCGTGAAAACTTCCGGCAGAATTTCCGGAATATCGATGGGAGTCTCACTGTGGCCACTTTTCGGCAAACTCCCGTAAAACATGGTTTCAAACACGTCGCTGGCAAGGCTCAAGACGTTCCTGCAGTGAAACTTCCATGTTGTAAGCCAGTAAGCGCAGCAAACTGGCAGTCACCAGAAGGGCGAAAGGACCGACTTGCTAGCTGAAAATGTTTTCGCTTCCCCACGCTGCCTCCCGACGGCGAAGTGAACATCCACCATGCCACCAGTGACCCAGGTATACTTCACCTGGTCTGCAATCTCTAGATGTGCTATACGCCATTGTGACGAATTTCCGGCCATGATGAAATGACGAGCTACCCAGCTCTGGCAGAAAAGAACCTAAAGGGAATTAAAATTTTCTGCAGGTAGCAGCAATTCAAATCACGATGCATCGGGAGATTGTTTTCCGCTGGGAGACATGAACGGTTGGTGCAAAGTTCATATGATCAGCGATAGGTAGTCGGGAATATTACATGGCCGGAAATATGCCTCCAAATTACAAGAGATAGATTTTCTTTCTCAGGCAGCAAAACTGGTTACCATGTAGCTAAATGTGCATGCTTCCAGTTCCGCCTACGCGTAAAGTGTAATCACTGAACTTGGAATGATTTCTTTTTTGTGTTTAATAAACACAGCTAACAGAATATAAACACTGTCATGCATATTCTGGCTATAGTGATGGAAAAACTAAGCTAAACTAAATTCGGTTAAACTAAAAACTTGGTTAAAAGCTTTAGCCGCCTAAATCGGCTTGGTTAAAACTTTTAGTCAACTAAATTTTCTTGGCTAAAACTTTTAGCGACTAAAAGTGGTTTGGTTAAAATTCTTAGTCGGTTAACCAAAGTTAACGGAAACTAATTATAATTCTTATAATTAAAAGTTGTTTTCATATGATTTTGTTTTTATACGGTTTTATGTACCTACAGATAGATCACGATACTAATGTTGCCTACTCTAGTATCGGCATTTATGAACCGTCCGTAAAACACCCGCTTGAGTTAAAGTGAAAATTCTGAAGTCAAGTCAGTAAAGTGACAATTACAAATTTCACAGCATTTAACACGTTAAATTACCCGTTAATCTTATGGTAATAAATTGCGACAGTAAAATAAAAACAGGCCGTAACGACGGTGATTGATAGTAGCTGGTAAGTGGGCCGGTTAGGCAGAATGCCACACTGTCAAGTTGTCACCCCTACGCCCGGGTGTAGATTATAATATACAGTTCGGTTATGAGCGATATACAGTAATTTTGCCGTATTTTTACTGGGAAAAAAAGACCAATAAATAAAATTGGTTAACCCCGGTTAACCTTCAAGTTTTGGTAGCTAAAATTGACTCGGTTAAAAATTTTAGTCAACTAAAAATTCATGACTAATTTTTTTAGCTACCTAAAATTGTTAAACTAATTGTTTTGGTTTTACCCAGGTTAACCGACGTTAACCGACTAATTAGTCGGCTAATTTTAGTTTTTCCATCACTATCTGGCTAGTAGGCTGGCTCTCACTAGTAGTCAGTGACTACTCGTACTGCATTATTTCATCGGTCAAATGGCCAGTAAATTCGATACCTAAGCACAGAGCGGAATTTTCTTAAGCTCCAGTAACTGTTATGCTGTTATGGGTTATGCTTATCCGCCTTATCGTCATGATTCATAACTCAAGCATTTCGCACTGCGTTTATGCGCCCAACGACAGCGCTCGTGCGGACTAGAGCGCCAGCAACACGGCAGCATTATTCATTGGACGGTGCTGTTTTCTTCATACGTAAAGCTGAGAAAGCTGACAAAGTGACAAGTGACAACCTATCCAGAAATACGCTACAGATTAAATGGAAAGCCAGTCTGAAAAAATTGATAAATTTGATACCACGGTTGCAGCAGCGTAAGTTACGACGTTATCTGAACATCAAATAACACTACTTCGAATGCTGCCTTATATGGGCTCCCCTTATATTACTCTCCCTTATCTGGGCTCCCGGCTTGTTAGCAATACCCGTCAAATTAAATTTATCGGATTTATAGCAGAACCCTTTCTACTTCTTTCAACCGGATTTACAAGTGAGCACACCAAAGAATTCCGAAATTTCACATCCGAATAATATTTATGTATATTATCTATACAATAATATTTTTCATTAATTTCAACCGGATTTGCCAATGAACAAACTGAAAAATGCCGAAATTTCATGTCACATTATTTTTTTCATGGGGTTCTTAGTGCATTTAAGCGGGCAACGTTTAGAAAGATTTTGAATTTAGAAAGATTTTAATTTTAGAAAGATTTTGAATCTGTCGTTGATGCAACCTGAGCACTTTGAAACAAACTAAATGTTACAAAAGTACTGGCAAAATAAGTATAAAGTATTTTAAATAAATCAAAAATTTCAGTCAGGCATAACTGAAAAATGCCGAAATTTCATGTCACATTATTTTTTTCATGGGGTTCTTAGTGCATTTAAGCGGGCAACGTTTAGAAAGATTTTGAATTTAGAAAGATTTTAATTTTAGAAAGATTTTGAATCTGTCGTTGATGCAACCTGAGCACTTTGAAACAAACTAAATGTTACAAACGTACTGGCAAAATAAGTATAAAGTATTTTAAATAAATCAAAAATTTCAGTCAGGCATAACTCTGGTAACAGCTGCGAAAGTGTGAGTAATAACGTAACCGCCCATGTAGAGGGTTGCTCATATTGCTGGGGAGCCCAGATAAGGGAGAGTAATATAAGGGGAGCCCATATAAGGCAGCATTCGAAGTACTGCATTGAGGAAGCAGTGCACACCCGTGTTATACACCGCAATATATACCGCACCGCAACATATATTATTACAAGAAACAGCCTCGGCTTCGCCTCCGCGTTTCTTGGGTTCTAAACTCCTTGGCCGGTTTACGGATTGTTAACTTAGAACGGATAAATCTGAAGGGCCCGATAACAAAAATTTTATAAAAAAATGGATGTTTTGGTTTCGTGCAGTCGAACGCAATTACTTTGACTTTACAGATCATTTTTCGTTAAATTATCTTAGCCAAAAACCATCCGAATCTAATCGCCCACGAGAGTATCACATTACAAACTAAAAGGACGCTAAGACTGGACAGTGGTGCTAGATAGGTCACCCATTAAGAACTTAGCAGGTCCTGCTCTATTTTGCTCAGTAATATTGCAGTTTGGTCATACGTTCACCTAACGGGCTCTGTGCACTGGATAGCTTTGGTAGCTTGGTCACCCACCTACCTAACGGGATCTATGCACTGGACAGTAGTGTTAGCTCGGTCACGCGTTCACCTAACGGGCTCTGTGCGCTGGGCAGTATTGGTAGCTCTGTCACCCATCTTCCTAACGGGATCTATGCACTGGACAGCAGTGGTAGCTCGGTCACTAAATCACTTAACGGAGTTTGTGCACTGGACAGTAGTGGTATCTCGGTACTCTTTCACCTAACGGGTTCTGGGCACTGGACAGTGGTGGTAGCTCGGTCACGTACTCAATTTGACACACTCAATCACTAGCAATTTTTTGACACAATTTTTTGACACACTCAATCACTAGGTGAGTGACTGACCGAGCTCAACCTGTCCAGTAAGAAATATCGCTAGGTAAGGAGAAAAATCGCTAGGTGAGGATGTGACCCTGCTACAACTACTGTCCAGCGTTAGGTGAGCAAGAGCAAAGCCCGCTCGATGACTCACTCATCTAGAGATTCCGCTCAGTGGTCGGTGATAGTGTTTCGGTCACTCACTCGTCCAGTGATTTTTCGTATTGATTTTATATTTGATATTTTTACATTCTATATCGGGTGATTTTAAACGTGTTTCGAGGTCGGCAACACCGGCAGCAATGTTTGAATAACGCGAGTGTTTGAATAAGTACAATAATTTATTTATTTTTCGGTTTAATTAGTGTGATAATTATGTCAATTGGTATTTTGTATTGTATCTAGGCAAATATTTCTAAGTTTCAAGGTGACCTTTAAGATGGGTTGGATCAATCTGGTCTTGATGCCGGCTTGATGCCGGCTCGATATTTTCATAAAAAAAACACATGCCGGCCACTTCTGAACTATCCCGGATCTAATGGCGTTGTCCGTTTTTCCAAAAGTTTTATGGTTATAGAGATCTCAAAACTATGGGGCGCCGCGCGTAGTATAGATCTTGTACTTAATACCGCAATGTTAAACCGCAACTGGCGCAGCAGAAGGCACAACGAACCAGGCGCCACCGAGGCGCCAAATTGGCACTAGGAATTTTTGGATATATCATATCTTATTCCGCTGATCCGATTTCGGGTCGTAGGAGAAAGCAGATTCGGTGGGCTCGATGCGACCACCCGTGCGACCTCAAAACGTAAACTGATCACCTTCTAAAATGGCAAGTGCAAGAGTCTCTTCAGCAACACGGAATCATAACAGCACTTGCTAAGCCGTGAGTTTTGTTCCTCCTAATTTGGTGCCGGTGATTTGACAGGTTCACTGGTCGTCGATTATCATGTTATCGATACACCTGGCCTTTCTGCCAGTTTCTCCGGTGTACTATTACTGTGCAGTTTATCAAGGCAATTTCATTCTAGCTCGTAGGCGATTTGAATCGCCAGTTGTCTCTGGCGAGCATCGGCGCCAAAATACATATTCCAGCGGACCTTTGAAATATCTGGTCCATAATCGATTAAAATGTGCGTACATGCCAACGTATGGACAACCAGTTGCCGGATGGGAAATGAGACTTTGGGGTTAGCTGTCAGAATCACTATTTAGTCGTTACCCGTGTATTGGACTAGGATTCGATTCACTTTACTGCTCATTTTTACTGCCTTCCCTGAACGAGTGGTCGTACACTGCATAATATCAACGCGATCCGGACAGCTTTAATTAGAACGACACGCGCTCACTCAACTAAGCACCGAGCGGCTCACATCAACTGCAGCTGACAGAGTCAGCCGATTACCAAGCGTAGCTGTTAGTCGAAGTAGGACCATCTATTGCACACCACATACTTTCCAGGTGGCCATCTGGGCTCGACTGACCGTTAAGTCACAAAATCGTGCAAAGTGCCATTGCTTGTTAACGTTGACAACGTGTAAGGCTCCTGTGTTCCAGGCAACGTGTTTGCTTCGCAGTCAGACAACCCGGGGCGAGTTACCATAAGCTTTTGATGCTTTCTTCAGCACATCCACGGCCCGAGCGATCCTGGATGGCGCGCACTGTTGTATCGTTACTCCATCGTTCAGCGCAACGAGAGCATCCGTTCCGTGTTTCCCGATAATCTTGGCCGGCCAGCAGCACGCACCCGGTGAATCAACGTCAACAAACACTTGCTCTTTGTAAATGTATTCAGTATGTCCGCTGAAGATGGACACCATCGAACCCAGCCGGAATTTCGTCGGGAAGCATAATCGTGGTTTGGTGTCGGAATGGTGGAACTGGTAGATATCCCGCAGTTTGGAATCAAGCAGCAAGCCACTCTGCGAGAACCAGCATGCTTTTCGTTAGAACAATACAAGCGGATCCTTAAATTTCTATCGTTAAAGTATAGTTAGTAAGTAGTCAGCGCGAAAGTTGCGCTATCACCGATTGCCACTGCACGTCGTCGTGCACGACGTCTAGCACAATTACTCAAGGTGAGAAGTTAATCTTCTATGATTTATATCGATGGTTTAAAAGTTTAGATCGATCTCGTCACGAGGAAGGTTAGATGGCCTCGTGGCATGGCTATCAGCGCGAAAGTTGCGCTATCACCGATTGCCACTGCACGACGTCTAGCACAGTTACTCAGATAACTGAAAAGGTGAGAAGTCAATCTTCCATGATTTATATCGATGGTTTAAAAGTTTAGATTCATCGTCACGAGGAAGGTCTAACAACCCCTCTAAACAACAGATAAACCTGGAGGTGGGAGATCACGGGTCACTCACAAAAGAAGAGTTTATTGCCCAAAAGGGAAAAAATACAGAGATATGTGAAAAGGAAGCAATAATCTGATCATTTCTATCGGAAACGCATAAAAACTATACCAGCAGCCACCGAGGGTGGTTGCTTCATACATCGAGCAGACACCGTGACAATATTATGCTGTTCCTTACCTTGACGGGTCCGGTGGCCAGTTGCGGATCGGTCATCAGCGGGAAACGAACGAGAAACAACGCTGGCCCCAACACACAACGGCGGTTGGTCGGTGAAGGCTCCAGACCGTCCCGCACGCAGGCCTCCACAGACCACCTACAACCACAGAAATCAAGTGACACTGCAGCTTTCGACATGAAAAGAAGGTCAACACACTTCTCGACGGCCGTGTAGATGGTGTTCTCATCGGCATGCAGTGTACTGCGCTTCAATATCATTTCCAGTATATCGCGTCTGATAAGGCTGAACTGCAGCGACTGCACAACGTTTTTGCAATCTTCGTCGACGACGGCCAAGCATTTTCCACAAAATCCGCGGTGCATTAATGGGGGAAAGATGCAACCTGCTCATAAAGATTATGAATTACGCACCCGATCACTATATAGGCGGTATTCACGTCTTAACTCTTAACCGAGCCAACCTTATCCAGGAACATTAGACAGTTGTCGGCGGTGAGCTGGGTGTTGGTGAACTCTAAACATAGTTCCATCAGCGGCGGTAGATTGTATTTGTCAGCGCAATAAATGGTCTCGAAGACGTTCTCTGCTTTCAGCTCCCCATCCACGGAGCCCGTATAAAGGTATCTAACATTATGACAGCGTAAGTAGAACAAATAATAAGTACTAGCTGTACTGCAAGTTCCTGTGGTCGTTCGGCAAATCGTTACATCGCGCCGCGTCTTCGGACATCCTGAACCGTATTCACCTGAGCATATTAGCGAATGCTTCGGGCAGGATCTCCGGGATATCAATGGGAGTGTCGCCAGTCTCCGGCAAACCTCCGTTAAACATGGTGTGGAAAACGTCGCTCCCGAGGCTTAGTACAAACCTGCAACCCACCACCATTTTCATTCGCACCCAAGCGAAGAGCTCCACATGAAGTGGTAGTCAACTAAGTTAATGCTGACTTGTGAGCGTGGATGATCTTCGTGTCGCCGTACTGACGCCCGACGGCAAACTGCACGTCGCTCATTTCCCCAGTGATCAAGATATGCTTCAACTGGTCGGCAATTCCCGGGACCAATATTCGCCATTCGGAAATGCGAGCAGGTAGAGACGAATTTTCTGACATGACTGAACGAAGGCCAAGTACACCGAAGTCGCGCAAACCAAAGCGCCTAGATTAATAGATTTAGTACGAACTGAAATTTGATGCAGGGATCGTCTAAATAAAACGCCAACAATTTCTGACTGCTCACAGAATGTTTCGTACTGAAGTCGTAAAAGCACAATGTAAAAATTTTCCGTTGGTAAGAAACCAAATAATTATTCGACTGAGTCGAATCAACTCTAAGAAAACTGAAAAAATATATGGAGAAGAATGAGAAGATCTCATGATCATTGTTAATGCAGCCTGCACTCTGCGGCTGGAAGAGCAGTGTGGACTGGCACACCGACAACTCGCTGACAGTCATCTTGCTGACCGACAACTTGCTGACGACTGTTTGCTGACCGACAAAATGTTGACCCGACAGTTTGCTAAAACAACAAATCGCTGAACGACATTTTGCTGAACGACAATTCACTGACACCGACGATTTGCTGACGACATTTTGTTGACTGACAGAATGTTTACCAGACAACTTGCTTACTTACTAAATTGTTGACCGACATTTTACTGACCGACGTTTTATGGAAATACCGACAACTGGCTGACCACAAATTTAGTCTTGTTACCCATCAAATCCTTGTAAAACTTCGGTTCCTTCGGTTGGGTGATTATAATCGGATACCACAACCACTTCTCCTGCTATTAACAGCTGCCGGCTTATGCAGCAATCTGACAATTCCAGTCGTCCATTTCTCCCTCTTTCTGCTCGAGCGCGAACGAGTAAATTTCATAAAAAACCATTGAAACAGAAGAAAACTAAGTAACCTAAGAACCTTAGAAACCTCAGCAACCTAAAAAACCTGAGAAACTTGAGAAACCTAAGAAACCTTAGAAACCTTAGAAACCTATGGAACCTAAGAAACCTGAGAAACTTGAGAAACCTGAGAAACCTAAGAAACCTAAGAAACCTAAGAAACCTAAGGAAACTAAGAAACCAAAGAAACCTTAGAAACCTAAGGAACCTAAAAAACCTGAGAAACCTGAGAAACTTGAGAAACCTGAGAAACCTGAGAAACCTGAGAAACCTGAGAAACCTGAGAAACCCGAAAAACCTGAGAAACCTAAGAAACCTAAGAAACCGAAGAAACCGAATAAACCTAAGAAACCTAAGAAAACTAAGAAAACTAAGAAACCTAAGGAACCTAAGAAACCTGAGAAACTTCAGAAACCTGAGAAACCTGAGAAACCTAAGAAACCTAAGAAACCTAAGAAACCTAAGAAACCTAAGAAACCTAAGAAACCGAAGAAACCAAAGAAACCTGAGAAACCTAAGAAACCTAAGAAACCTAAGAAACCTAAGAAACCTAAGAAACCTAAGAAACCTAAGAAACCTAAGAAACCTAAGAAACCTAGGAAAGCTAAGAAACCTGAGAAACCTGAGAAACCTGAGAAACCTGAGAAACCTAAGAAACCGAAAAAACCGAATAAACCGAATAAACCGAATAAACCGAATAAACCGAATAAACCTAAGAAACCAAAGAAACCAAAGAAACCAAAGAAACCAAAGAAACCTTAGAAACCTAAGGAACCTAAGAAACCTGAGAAACTTGAGAAACTTGAGAAACCTGAGAAACCTGAGAAACCCAAGAAACCTAAGAAACCTAAGAAACCGAAGAAACCTAAGAAACCGAAGAAACCGAAGAAACCGAAAAAACCGAATAAACCTAAGAAACCTAAGAAAACTAAGAAAACTAAGAAACCTAAGGAAACTAAGAAACCTTAGAAACCTAAGGAACCTAAGAAACCTGAGAAACTTGAGAAACATGAGAAACTAGAGAAACCAGAAAAACCTAAGAAACCTAATAATAACTTAAGAAACCGTTGTAATTATTAACATTTTTGACAGTTATTAATAAATAATTGATATCGACTGAGACAATGACATAGTCGTGAACTTAATACTGAGTAATAAATGGCAAAAGGTTATATTTCAGTTATAACTGTCACAGTACTGCTTCCTTTTTATGAAACCGAAGAATATTCTAGTTTTTGCGTAAATATCGACGATGTGCATTTAACTGGTCAGCAAATTGTCGGTCAGCAAGTTTTCGTCTTTTGCAATTTGTCGGTCAGCGAGTTGTCGATTACCGACAGTTCGCTGACCGACAAGTACAATGTAGGACGAAATGGTCGCATAGCCCCATACCCAGCATTCTGTACGCAAGCGGTGCAGTGCACTTGTACGAAACGGATATTTTGAACTCAGTCGTACAGTGCACTGCGCTGCATGCGTACTGAATGTGGAGAGGTTGGGTATGCGACCATTTCGTCCTAAGCTGTAAGCTGTCGTTCAGCAAATTAGTTTCAGCAAGATGTCGGTCAGCCAGTTTGTACAAAAGCGAATTGTCGGTCAGGTATTTGTCGGTCAGCAAGTTGTGGTAGTCAGCAACAAGTCGGTCATCAAATTGTTGGTCAGCGAAAAGAAGGTCATAGAGTTGTCGTGCTACCGTGTGGACTGCAGCAGCAGGGCGTTCAACACGGCTGCCGCAAGAGGGGGGTGGCGCACATCTTGGCAGTACAAAGTGTACGAGGAGAAGCTACCTTGGCCCGATCAAAGACATAAGGTCATAAGCACGACCGTAAACCGATCACTGCTTTCATGTGTGCGCAACACGGGTTACCACCCAGCGGCGGCAGCTGCAAGAAGCAGCACGTCAACAATTTAATCAGCAATTATCCAATACAAACGCCCTCTCTTCTTTGTCTCTTTTGAAACTTTTCAACTAAATATTCTAAAAGTTGGAAAGAAAAGGAGACATAGAGGTATTTTTTTATTCGAGCACGAGGATCCGTGAGGTTTTCGTAAATGCAGCCTCTTTACTGAAAATGTTGATTGAAGTCCTGTGATAGTATGTCTACGAAAAAGTCCGCCATCTTAAAGTTCCTTGGTCTACAGTCTACAGATGCAATAGAATAGCTCCTAACAAATTGCCTAAAAATTCGTGCTTTCTTAATATTTTTAAACAGTAGTTGGAATTTGGAAAGTTTAAAAAAGAGTGCACGGGGTGTAAAAGTTTGAATGATCAACAGATGTGCGTGCTGGTGACTCCCGTACGCTTCCATCGTTGGGCGGCCAGCCGTGTTTCACAACCACCTGGCTCAGCGTGTAACAATACGGGCACAGTGATCGGTTTATGGTCGCGAATATGCCTTTGATCGGGCCAAGGTAGCTCCTCCTCGTACACATACTACGACAACACACGGAACACGGTGAAAGACAGCAAAAGCAACATCGCAAATCTTGTCATCTGTAGCGCGTAATCGTATCGAGTAACTTCGAAAAATTAATTCTGTTTTACGCCTTTACAATAAGCGAGTTCTCCCTTATTATGGCTTCCTAGTTTTGTGACTAGGTCCGTTCATAGAAACGATCTACGTCAATCAGTTGAGGACTGCTCGGCAGGCCGCTCTTGCTGCGACGTGTGCTTTTGCTTGGGCTGTGCTTGGTGTCATAGGTAGTGCTACCGAAATCCTATAATCTACAATATGGGGAAACATGGGGTGTCCCTAAATAATACCTTTTATTCATAAATGGGAGAAAATACATAAAAATGGATAAATCAAGATCAGAGACACTCCTATTCCAGTAGAAAATCCATTAACAGGGGCATTTCCATGCCTGACCGCCGTCATACGCGGTTACAGAGTACACCGTGACACATGCCCCTCCTCCCAACAAGGGCTGCCCTCAGCCCGTAAGACAACAAAACACAAAGAGTATCACAAGCTCTTAAACAAAAACAGAGCAACAAAAGAGTAAGCACTTGTCTTTCTGGTGAGCATTCGCGTCCTACTGGCATTATCCAAGGAAGGTGGCTGGGAACAGGACGGTGTCAAGGGCCACATGCGGCCCTTTTTCGGTAACACGACGGAACGCATCTTGTCAGGATCCTTCCACACCCTGGTCCGTGCAGGAACATTCGCGACGTCCGCCATGCGCAATGCAGGACTTACCCACACTGCAGTCCAACATCCGAGAAGAAGACGGTTCCACTCCGCCTTGGCCTTCTCCGACAATGGAGGGTTTTTGCTCCCGTACGCAGCAGTAAACCTCCGCGTTACTGCTGCGGGGCGTTTTTTGAACGCGACAACGTAGCTGCGCTAGCGCGCAATGTCTGCAGCGGACGGGCGTATGGAAAGTCGCGTGCGGTACGGTATGGCATTAGAGCCGCAATGCGACTCAGTTCGGCGGCTAGATCCATCGTCCGAAGATCTATTTGCAATTTGGTATATTAGTGGTGCAAGGCAGTGTACCACTTTTCCACAGGGCAGTCGGACTGCTTTTCGGGAAGTAGACAGGAAGGATAATGGGTAATTTCTCATACCCCTTGGATTGCTTGAAATGGTACTGAGTACCATTAAGGGCAACGGTAGCAGAGCAATGGTTTGCGCCGGCGCACTGCTAGGGGCCGAGATGGCACTGTACTCCATGACTGCCACTTTTGCCAACGGAATGGCACTGTTTGCCATTAAAGCCTTCTTATCTGGTTTTGGCGTAACCAAACCTGTGCGCTCTACAAAAGTTTGCACTGCTCGCAGGGGTTGGGGCGGAGTGGTGCGCTTAGCATGTTGGGACGAAACAGGGACATACCCTGTTGTGGCCTGCTTTGCGCCACTAATGGATACAGAATTCGAAGGGGTTACGCCACGCTGAATTTCTTGCAAAAGCGCTCGACTTCTTTCAGCCACCCCTTTGTAGAAGTTCCGTTCTCGTTCGAGCTGAACCACGGCCGCCTTGTAATGCTCTTTCTCTTTCCTAAGAGCAGCTAGCTCTTTTTCAATCTGAGCGGCCCGGTGCTCACCAAAACTGAAGACTGCGACGGGTCCCATTCCATCGACTTGGCCAGCCCTGTAAGGAATGTACTGGCTCACCTGTTCGGCTATGTCGGGCACATAACAAGCCCTGCAGCTTTCTTCGGGTAAGAGCATCGTAGTAGGAGAATGTTCATTAGCAGAAGGGTTGGAAGAACCCTTAGAATAGTCCGAGATATGGTGTGGAACGGCACGGGCCCCGTAGAGGAAGGCGTTCGTTTCGGGCAGTCCGTAATCCACTGATATGTCGTCTGTCGGGCATGCGGAAGCCACACGCACCCACGCAGATGTCGGAGACCCAGAATATGCCGCTGAAGGCGGCGGAACTGGCCGAGAAACTGCAGGGTACGCCATCGGCATCGGCGACCCAAATTGGGATGGGGCAAGACCGCAGCCACCAAAAGGCTGGTACATTGTTCAAACCAGGAGCGCCATTTGTCATAGGTAGTGCTACCTAAATCCTATAATCTACAATATGGGGAAACATGGGGTGTCCCTAAATAATACCTTTTATTCATAAATGGGAGAAAATACATAAAAATGGATAAATCAAGATCAGAGACACTCCTATTCCAGTAGAAAATCCATTAACAGGGGCATTTCCATGCCTGACCGCCGTCATACGCGGTTACAGAGTACACCGTGACAATATTCCAGCAGAGTGATTCCAGAGAGTGATTCCAATATTCCAGCAGGTGCCGTTTGAAGATGCCAGCCAACGGGACTGGTGAGCCAGTCGGCCGGGCTCATGCCGATCGTTTTTCTCAACCAGGGGAGAATGCCACACGTGTTACAGCGGAAGTTGTGGATTTGCATCGGGAATGGCAAAACCTGCGAGCCTCACGAATGTTATGCGATGTGGAGCTGTGAGGCTGTGAAGCAGAATATGCAGGGATTCCGTGTCATCGCAGCGTCCTCGGCGTGCGCAGTGCGTATTTTCGCACCATGGTCCTGTCGGGAATGAAGGAATCTACACAGCCAGTTATTCAGCTGCACAACATCTCCCACACCGATCTGTCCCAGTGAGTCCTCAGTTTTGTAAACGAGAAATGGGGCGAAAAACTTCTAGTTCTTGACATCTTGTTATGACGATGAGGAGCATAGTACAACACATGCGTATATGATGTTCGTACGGACTCGCAGCTTTGTGTTTAGGTTGTATAACGAGTGTCGCCACTGGAGTGTCATGGGTAATCGATATGGTTTTCCGAGTCTTCTTTTGCAGGTTGGTTGACTATTGCTACATGAAGGACCTCCTCCTCACCGATAGCAACGTGCAGTCCTTGCTGATTGCTGCGTCGTTCCTGAGTATTGATTCGGTCGTGGATGCCTGCTGGAAATTCATGGACGATCACCTGTGTCAGCGTGGCGCTCACGCTGCTAAGGAAAAACAGAACAAACGCCAGCCACAAACGATCTTTTATTAATTTTCGAAGAAAAGTAATAAAGGCATGAAGCCCAAAAACATATCTCGTGCGCAAAACACAGTCGATCCGTAGAATGTAGATTCTGCGGAGAAGATGGCCAAGTGAATGGCAAAACCGATCGCAGATCGGTAAAACGAAAAAACAACTCGCACGTGCAAGTGCGCAACTGTGCAACGGAAGTGGCGCGACTCTGCCTATCTATAAGGCAGCACCAACCTCCTAACATGCCACAGGTGGAACGGCGAGGCCCTCCGAAGCCCATGCAAAATCGGCAACAGAAACACACAACACAATTAGTCAAAGATATGAGCAAAATGCGACCACAAAGGCGGCATATTCTATTGTTAACAATCACAAAATTCAAATGAAAGTTTACGAGATCCATTCCATAATGCTTTTCCATTCCGAAGAATCTTTTATCATCCAAATCACAGCTTTTATCCGCTTTATTCGGTGTCCAGCTTTTCGTCAGCGTTCGGATCCGCATCGGACAGCATATCAACGTCAACGTCAGCAGTAGCGCCAGCAGTCGCAGATTCGGTTACAACGCCAGCGGCTACAACAGTTAATGCTGTGCCAATCGCTTCTGAAAGCACACCTTGTGCCGGTTCGACTGATGTCGATTCAACTGGTTGCGGTTCATCCACAGTATCGTGGAAAATTTCGGTCTCTTCGCTATTTGGCGCGGTCGGTAATTTAATGAATGAATTATCTGGCACTGGGCCAGTCGCAATGTCTTCTTTTGGCCAGCGATGAATCTCGGTCGAATAGAAGTCGTATTCTTCTTTCGACATATCGGTGATTTTCTTATTAACCAATTCTTTTAGTATGCTATGAACATACTCATCGCTCGACGGTTCGACATGATCGCGGAAACTCTGAGTAGTTTCGTAAAACTTTCTCTCGTGCGGTTTCATACGCGATAACGATATAGTGCTCAGTAACTTTTCATTACGAGCATTCAACGCCGCCAACTTTGCAGCTTCTTCCGGTTTCATTTGTCCAGGCTGTTCAGCTGGAGCAGATGCAGTTGGCATAGGAGCAGCCGATTGTTGCTGTCCTTGCAGTTTTCCTGCAACTTTCGGTTTATTACCGTTATTCGGTTTTTTATCATTATCGCCATTATGGGCCGGTAGACGCAAATTATTATCAATCGGTACAGTACTCGTACCTGTCGATTTCACAGTCGTCGAACTAATCGACGCTGGAGCGGACGATACTGCCACGGTTTGTTTATTTTCCACCGATCGTGGAATCAACACAGGTTTGCTTCCCGTGGGCGCACTCGGTTTCGGCGGCGGATTCATACATCCTGCCACTCCTAATTGCGGCTGTGCAGACCGATTTCCTGCAGCATTGCCTTTGCTCGTCGTAGAAGTATTTACGACTCGCATTTTATACACTGGCTGTTCGGTCTTACTTCCCGAAGGAGTATCCGGTGAATCGGGCACGTGCTTCCGCTTGTTGAAGCTAGTGTCAGTTTCATACTGATTTTGACGGTCTGCGAATCGCTTCATCCGCTCGTCCATATCATCATAAAACTGATTAGGACCACCTTGATTGGTGTCCATTTCGGTCTGGCCAGCGGCGGCAAGAATATCACGTAATTCCTGTGCCTCCTGCTGTTCGCTTTTCGGTTGACCCAATAACAGGATCTTATCGCGCATTTGCCGATATTCCGGCCGATCTTTCTGCTTATAGATATAATTATGGGCGCTGTGGCTTCCAAGCAGCGCGGCTAAGATGCACATAACTGCAGTCTTCAGCCCGGTATTATACGGTATCGACATCCAGTCGATATTTCGATTACGAGTACAACGTTCCAGATTACTGGCTACCCGACAAAAGAAATAAAACTTTGCGGGATCGGTTTCCGGTAAAATAAACTGCAGGAGAAATGTCTCCGTATTCTTATCTCCGAAAATACGGAATTGAGATAAAATCTCAATATCCACGGCAGTAATCGGTACATACAGCTGACTGTTGTCCAATGCTGTACGCAGAGAGTTTGAACGGCGAGTCGCATATTTCTGCACGTCCAGCGATCGTATTAAATCGACATTAGCATAGTGGATTTCCAACATACGGCCTCGTAGCCCAATTCGTTCAAGCAAATCCACAGACTCGTGGATCATATTACGGATCTGCGCTACGTCTGGGTTTTCTTCACGGTTCGCAATTCCCAAGACGCCGGTTAATTTATGCACATAGATTTCGGCGTTATTAACGATGTGCATCACGTCTTTAATAACAGTCGCAGGATCAATCTGCAACTGGCGATTATCACGGTATCCGCGACGATGAACATCGCGCTGCTGATTTCCAGCCGGTTTATTCTGCTCGTTGCGCTGATTAGTCGACTGCTGATCTCCAGCCGGTCGAACATTCTGCTTAGGTTGCTGCGATTGCGACGGTTGTTGCTGATATTCAGCCGATCGGACATTATCGCGATTGCGCTGTCTGCTGTTTCGTCTCTGCAATTCAGCAGACAATCGGTTATTTAATTCAGTTAAATCTCTACCTTCAACTACAATATTCTTGCGCGATTGAGAGTGATGCGCACACGGTTCCAGATTATATTCGATTCGATGGCGACCACCAAATGGAGGTCTGCCGTCACTACTGTCAGAGGACGGCTGTAAACACTCATTCCCTACTGACGTAGTCGATTCGTTTAACGACATATTACTTACTTTCTTCATCAGTCCCGCACGCGCGTCCGGTTGATTACGCGACGTGCTTGGCTGACGCTCGACATTCTGCGGTTGACTGGCAGTTCGGGAACCAAACTGCTGCGCGACATTCGGACGATATCCGCGCTCAGCGAGCCACGGATCGGTGCTGCTCGTACTGCACGTCGCCTGCTGTACAGACGGAGTGTTAGACTGAATTTTACATAATTTACACGACGGTACATCACAAATTTTTAATTCATGTACCTGCATCGGCATCGGTTGACGATATTGCTGATACTGCGGCTGATTAAACGCCCAGTCAGCTTGCAGATATTGCGCATTTTGCGCCGGTAGGAATTGTTGCGGAAATTGCTGATAATTCAACATCGGTTGTTGTGGCATCATAAATGCCTGCGGTGAATTAACATTAAAATTCAGAATATCGTTTTCCCACGTACTGGGAATAGAACGGTCTAGGGGAATCATTTCCCACTCTTCTGCCGATAATAAAGTACCCGCAAGGTAATTATTTACCTGAGTGTTCGGTTGTGACGGTGCGTTAAATCGCATCGCCATCTGCGACGGTGCTACTCCAGGATCTGGCACTTGTTGCCAGTGGTCCCGTCGATTATTTACGAATTTTCGGACAGCGTCGTTGATCTGCGCCAACAACCACGGTTTTCGTTGAAGGATCGATTCATAACGCGACTCCATGAGAGTGGTGTATGCATCCAAATTGGCGTGCATCACCTCGCTTACTAGTCGCGTCACAACGGTGTCTGGATTCATATTATCGATATTCTGTCCAAAAAGACAGTCGGTGCATTTCCGATTATTCGTGTTATGCTTGCAGCGATCACACGAATTCGACAGCGGCTCCATTCGGTCTACAAGAAGATTATTCGAATTAATCTTCGATTAATTACTCGATATTTCTATAAATTATTTAAACCATAATTTACACGGTAATTTTAGTCGATGTGTTCGATACGTTGTTAGACGATAAGAATTCGGCACACGATCTGTACGAAAGGTACGGACCACGATTTTACGGGGAATCTCCGATTGTTAATGAGTTTAACAATTTATACGGAGATACGGACCACAAGTTCGTGGGGATTTTCGGTTTAATTTATTACGGTAGCTACAACTTATCGGTACAGTATCTACTGTATTAGTACTACAGTAGTCGATTATTCGATAATTTTAAATCATTCAACGGCGCGATGATGAGCCTGCTTGACCTAAGGTTTCATTAACTCGCCAAGTGATACCTCGCTGTGGATCATTATGAGAAATAATAACCGGATCCAACACGAGTTCAGACGCAGCTAATTCCACATAATGATCGACACGATTTCCCATATCGGGACGGATCGTGCGAATATACTGAATTATTTCATCAATTGTAGATCCATTTGGATCAGCGATCTCCCTAATTGTACGCAGTATAACTTCTTGCCACTGTCTCGCATCAAACAGTGGATAGTTACTTAAAAACGAAATATTTGGTGAAATTGTATGATATTCAGCCAATCGGTTGGCATTATATCGGCGTAACAAACGGCTATTTTCATACTCGCGATTGAGAGCAATTGCTACTGCCTCAGGATTATAACGATGTCTGAGACGATCCATTATTCGTCCCTGAGTCGGTTCTTGACGGGATCGCACAATCTGACTAATAGCTTCAACCAGAACGCTAGAAGTCGGTTCTGGAGGCGGTGGCGGTGGTTGAACGATCTTTACGTTCTTACGCTGACGGTCCGGTGACGGAAATCCTAGTTCTTTAACTGAAATTCCAGTAATAGAACTCATTCGCGTGCGATTACTGTCTACAAGTGCATAACGCGGCACATTGAGACCGGTATTTTCGATCAAGACCTCCCGACGCACTAGCTCATGAATAGCCTCCAAAATCATAGGAAACTGCTGTGCGGGAGCGACCAGATTCATCGGCATAGTTAAAGTAATATAATTGGCAATCTCTGCCACGGTAGATCCCTGTCGATTATGGATATCACGTACGGCGATAGTAAAGGCTTCTCGGAAAATCTCCGGTGTACTAATTACCATTAATTGGTACCACGTCTGCCGGAGATATGTCGGTGAGTACATTATTGTCGGTGACCAATTAATATACACTTCGAGCATCTCGCCCCGATTAACTGCACCTTGAATAGCTAATCGAAATTGTTCTCAATCAGCCTGTCGATTTATATGCGTTCGATAATTCTGATACAGATAATTAAACGCAGCTGCTCTCTCCCTGTTTTTTAATTGACGGAAAAATTCAAACGCTGCGTCCAGCATTAAAGATAAATC